ATGAATTGGCAATTAATTTAAATACTACAAAAGTTAGCTGGCTTAACTCATTGTTGTCATCTGCATTTGCATACAAATAAAAACACATATCATTTAAATATGGTGTATTAATCGTAGCAAGCGGAGTAGAATAGCGGAGTCTCTTAGTGATAATTGTTAACTATTTTGATTTCAAAAATTTGTTTACAAATAGTTGGTTTGGTTTTAGAAGGAGTCTAACAATAACAAGGTCCATCATGGATGAAAATTCAAGAGGCATTTGAGCAGAGTGATTTGATTTGATTGTGTTTCACATGAACTGCTTCTCATAAAATTGGAGAGTTATGGGTTTGGGGGTGCTAGCGTTGCAATGATCTAAGCTATCTCTCCAATAAAAGGCAAACTGTATAGGTGGGTGGAATGAGGTCAGCAGAGAGAGCTATAAATATCGGATTACCACAAGGGTCAATATTTTGACCACTTGTATTTCTAATCTATATTAATAGTCTTCCACAGACAGACCTCACCAGTTTATTTACTCTTTTTGATGTTGACACTACTATTACCTGCAAAGATCATCATCTTAATGCAGTCATAAAAACATCTTCTTCTTCTTTGTCAACCATTTTCCATCCACTCCTGAATGTAGGTCTCTCCCAATTGCTTCCATCTTTCTCTATCTTGCGCCAATCTAATCCACTGTTTGCCTGCCACTGCTCTTATGTCATCTACCCATCTTTTTTGAGGTCTTCCCATGCTTCTTGTTGTCGTCCTTGGTCTCCATTCTAGAATTCTCCGTGTCCACCTGTTGTCATTATATCGGGCTATGTGACCTGCCCAGCGCCATTTCATTTTTGTAATTTCTTTCACAATATCCCTAATCTTCGTTCTACGTCGTATCTCGGTGTTTCTAATCTTGTCTCTTAGTGATATTCTAAGCATGATTCGTTCCATTGCTCTTTGCGTTGTTTCTAATTTTTTGGCAGATTTTTTGGTAAGTGCTACTGTCTCCAAGCCGTAGGTACAAACAGGTAGTATGCATGTGTTATACACCTTTTTCTTTAAGTTTATAGGAATGGAGGTGTTTTTCAAGATATGTGCTAGTTTGCCGAAAGCGCCCCAAGCCAGTTGTGTTCTTCTTTTAATTTCAGCATCTTGATTTGGTTTTCCTAGTTTGATAACATGACCTAGATATACATAATGTTCCACATTTTCTATGGTATGATTTTGTATTGTTATATTTGTCTGGTCTCGGCTCAGTATTTTTGTTTTGCTGTAATTCATTTTTAAGCCTACCGCTCCTGAAACTGCATTTAATTGTTGTAACATATCATTTAGTTCTTGGATATTATCGGCTATTAAAACTATGTCATCTGCGAATCTCAAATGGTTTAAGTATGATCCGTCGATGTTGATACCCTTATTGTTCCATTCCAGTTTCTTAAAAATATCTTCTAGAGCAAGAGTAAATAGTTTGGGAGAGATGGTGTCTCCTTGTCTTACTCCCCGTTGTAGTCTTATGGGATTAGTTTTTATGCTTTCGTCCAGTTTTATATGCATTGTGGCATTTTCATATATGTTTTAAAAACATCATAATAAGCACAATTTAATGCAGAACAACAGTTTACAGCAAATAAATTGCTTCTAAACCTCAATAAAACTAACAATATGATTTTTTAAATAAAACAGCTAAATTTGCAGCACTGGGTTAGAAAGCTCATACAAGGTCCCTTGTTGCTAAATTAAGATCTGCAACTTTTCTGATAAGAAGACTTTCTGAATGTGTATCTCAATTCACTCTAAAACAGGCCTATTTTGCACTGTGTCATTCACACATCAGCTATGCAATTTTGGCATGAGGTCACAGTGCTGGAACCAAAGATATCTCTGAATTCAGGGAAGAATGGTAATGATAATAGCTGACTTGTCCTATCAGAAAGAATATTTGTAAGCATTTGTGGCACTACACATACTAACTCTACCTTCACTATTTGTTCTAGAGAGTATTTTTCATGTAAAACAAAATACAGATAGTCATCAAAGATGTGAGGATGAACACTAATATGAGACCAGGAATAAGCATGCCTTCATATTGTCCTACACCAGGCTCCAAAGAAGAACATTTTACAACAAGCTGCCTTATGTAATTAATGAATTACCAAATATACAACTTAAAAAAAACAATCAAGAATTTTCTCATCAAATAGACATCTTACAGTGGTGATGAATTTTTAAATTTTAACTTTAATTTTTAGAATAGGGTTGTGGATTGATGAATCCTATTCTGTTTATACCTAGGTATCCAGAGTATAATGTTTGTCTTAACTAATGTAAGCATTATTTTATATTATGCCTTGTGTTTACAATATTTTTGTTATGGGTTCTTCTACTCATATTTGTGAACCAGTATTTTATACTGTTGTTATATAGACATTTAAGTACTTTATTGTATATTGACATGAATAAATAATTTAAACTTGAATTAGATATTAGCACATTGTTGTTTCTTCCTTATTAATCCTGTTGGTACTGTAAGTAAGTACCTATGTGTCCCATAAAATTTCATAAAATTCTATCTTATCCACATGATGTGTAAATTTTTAATCTATATAAATAACTAAGTATTCCTTTGTAATATGCAACCAACAATTATACCTGTATAGTCATCCAATATTTTTTTACTGAGTTACATATTTAGAGATTTTATATACAAAAAATATTTCAAAAAAGTTTGTCCCAAATGAAATTCCTAACAAAAACTAGTTTTTCTCATTGTATTTGTACAATTTTTGAAATAGATCAATGATATAGCAGTAGTTTTACTGGATAGTCATAAGTGTTCATATAATCATATATCTGGACCATCTGGACTCAAATAATATTAAGAAAACAAAAAATATTGAATTGGTGATGTAGCAGATGTAAGACCAATAGGAAATCAAATTATTGAGACAGAAAAAAATTACTACATAGATGATCAAGAAAGAAATAAAAAACTAGCAGGAATAAAGGAAACTACTACATGTTCCTGTGTCGTTGGAATAATGCAAGATATATGGTTCTATTAGGTCAACCACAGCTACTACATAGACCTGGAATGACATGGAAGGCAGTTTGTAATAATGCATATACACCAGATTTTTTTATTAGAATATGTTTACTTCCAAGATTATTTGTTTTCTATTGATTCCTCAATTACAAAAATATAAAGAGGTTATAACATTGGAGGCAAATTAAATCTTCGCAGCCATCTTTCGCATTTTAAATTAGACTGTATGATTGCTAATTGTCGATACAAAAATAAATATAATTACATAAGTTTATAAAAATAAAATGTAGGTATAATAGTAGAACAGGTGTGCAATAAAAATAGGTTATGTCATGCAAGTATTGTATGTTGCAATTTAAAAAAAGTAAACAATTACAAAAACTTACCACCGTTTTTTTCTAAATAGTAACAACTTGAATAATTGTGCGTAATTGGCAAATTAACACGAAACGTTCACGAAACTTAAATAAAACTATGTCAAAACAAAACTAGAAAAACCGGTGGTCACTAGTAACGCCACACACAATACAATCAAAATACAATACTTCTTCTATAATACTTCATTTCATATTTCATCTCATCATCTTCATATTGACAGGAATCCATAGATGTGCCGTTTGGAATTTGATAGGGATTTTTTTGAATCTTCACTATGATGGCCATTATTGTATTGAGTATGTAAATAACTCGTTTATAGTAAATATTTCTTTAAATCAGAAATTTTTTCTTCTTTTGATATTTAAAACAAGAAGTAGCTAGTAAATGATTTTATTTATATTTTTTTATGTTACATATATTTGAACTGAACTTAAAGAATCCAATCAGATGATATGCAATGTGTTTGCTTCTTTGTATGGTTTGTAGACATTGACTTATGTGTTGCTGAAAAGATCGTACCTAATCTGAAACACAAGACTTAAAAATAATGAAAAAAGGGGAAAAGGATTTCTAAGATTTAAACATTTGTTATTGTTTTTTCTACGATTATAGAAAGTGATTGACAATATTAAATGAACAAAAACTCTGGAGAGAATACGACTATCCGTAAAAGATATTGCCTGCCAGGCAGGCAAATCCAGTATTTACGTATCTGCATCATTCTGCATACATTTATAGACAAAGAAACTTCGTAAATATGTCAACTTAGAATTCATCAGATAGCATTTCTTTAACTTTGTTTGTTGTTTTCATTTTCGTTTTGTATTGGTAGAGTTATTAAAGAGGTGTTTTATATCGTCCTGTAATAAAAGCACCTTTATTTTGACATATACGTGTGTGCAGTTTGGCGTCCTTTTAAAATACAGCCCGCCTGCTGCCCGTCTATAATAACCCCGTCTGCAGGCTAACTATATATTATATATATATATATAGTTAGCCTGTAAGAAAAGAACTGAATAGAGAAAAAAAAACAGAATATGAAAACAAATATTTTCATGTACCGTTCAAATGATTGGAAATCGCTAAAAATTAATGCAAATTAAGAGTGATGTGAGTGTATTTAAAATATATCATTACAAGAGATGTAAATTTACTTATATTCATGTATTGTTTAGAGTCAACTCAACAGCCTCCAAAGATAATGAAAATAGGCAGAGAACATTAAAAAAAGTATTATTCTGTGAAACATAGAACTCGAGATAAATTCATCCTTCAAAAGTTGTTGTTAACGTCAATTAAAATATTCTACTTTCATCGTTTATGAATCAGCCGTGGGCAAAGATTTTCCTATATCGGTTAGTCAGCCACGTTTTCTTTGTTATATTAGTATTGTTTTATAAACTGAATATATCAAGACTTTATTAGTGGTAATTATCATAAAATTAATAAAGAACTACTCATAAACGTCTTATTTGGGTTAAATTTCTCGATTTTATTTTATTTACGAATTTTAAAGTTTCTTTCGACTGCGACCTCTATGAATGTACCAGTAAGCTTGTTGTCACATGACACCACGTGAATATTCGATAATTTTGCAGTTGCTGATTTTTTACGGTCTGTGATAGACGTCTCCTGTACACGTAAAAATGGCTTCGACGATATCAGCAAGACAGGCTAACAGAGAACATGTTTTGGCTGTATCTCGAGACTTTATATCTCAACCAAGACTCAGTAAGTATTATTTTTTATATTGGTGCCATCTTTTCTACAAAAAAAGACTGAAGATTGGGTGGGTCTTGATAACTAATGGTGGACAAGAATCTGGTCATATGACCAAAATTTTGATATTATTATTGATTATTTTTGGGATCCTGAATGTTTTAAAAATATTCTTCCTGGGATTTGTGTTTTGTTAAAGTGTTTTTTGTTGAGGGGCTTTAAAAAATAGACTTCATCAGCTGTTTATGTTATCATGTGACATCTTATGATATTGCCACTCCTAATAATATAGACAATTTTGACAAAAATATTAAGTAAATAATATACCAAGAACTGTTTCTAATGACCAAATATTTAATTAATAATGTAAGCTTAATTGCAGTACAGCAAATTATATTGGAGGTAGTTAAAATTTCACTTTAATTTCTTGTGACTTACCCCATCAATAAGTTATTAGAAACAAGGTCCAGTTTGAGTGGCATTTATTGGAAAATTTACTAGATTACATTGTGAAAATGGGTTATGCCTCCTAATATTCCACATTTAATAATTAAAACAGTATTTCTTCTATTTTGAATTAATAGACAAGTTGTTTTCTTTTTAACAATTAATTTATTCTTATTACATTTGGTTAGTATTAATAAAAGCTATCAGAACAATGTGATAAGTTTATTTTTTTAGTAACTTAAGTTTTGGCAACAACTAAGTTTTTTTTGGCAAGTAAATTTCCTACTTTCTTGCAGCAGATCCATAGTTGAAACTTTTGTTACTAATTTCTAACTTAATCATTCAAGTTTGGGTATTTAAAATGAAAACAGTGATTTTTTAAATTACACCATAGGCTATGAGGTCTTTGAAATACTTTAAAAATGTTATGAGAACTAATAAGATGTAAAGTTTACTTCAGTTGTTTAATTAAAGGAAGAGTTTTGGATATAAGTTTATGTTTTAACTTCTATCTGTAAAAAGTAATTTGTAATAGGCGTCTGGTGTTATTTTTTTATTGTGCGCCATCAGGAGAAGTTCAGAGTTTTCTGTGTAAATTACATAATATATTGGAGCTATGCAGTAAGTCATATCATGATATTTATATTTGTGGCGATCTAAACATTGATTATCTAGTCATGTCTAATAATAAGCAATCTTTTAACGAGTTTTTAGTAAGGTATAATCTGAGAGTCACGTCTCAGGTTCCTATAAGAGTTTTCATAGATAAAGTGGGTAAAACATCATCTACAAAATTATACTACATATTGACAAATATCGAACCACATCTTTATAAATCAAATGTTTTCGAGGGGCACTTCAGTGACCATAAAGTATTTTCACTTAGTGTAAATTTGCAAGCCAATAAAGTATTGAAAAAAGATAAAAAAACCCATCAGAAAATATGTTGATGTTTAAAGCAGGGATTTCTTCTACAGTTTTTGGTGAAGTTTATTCACAATTGAATGCTGAACATGCCACAAATTCATAAAATCTAAATTTATATTGTCCAATAAAAACACGGTATAAAGCACGCAAAACAAATAAGGCTACATGGGTAACATATGAGGTAAGACACGCTATTGAAAAACTAAAAAATCTACACTGGATAACAAAAAGTATAGGGAGTCTTGAGTCTCAAGATACCTATAAACAGGCAAAAGAGAATATAATTTTCTATTAATAAATACTAAAAAAACTTTTATAGTGACCTAATCAATCTTACAATATACCAAAAACAATTTGGAATTTAGTAAACGGTGAAACCAGTAGGCAAAAGAACAGGTCTGATATTATTCTACATTATGATAATAAAATTATTACCAAGTCTTGTGATATTGCTAATTCATTTGTCTCATATTTTGCTACAATTACAGAATACAATCTTCAAACTCATTTTGGTACATTGTGTTCCTTCTTCTTGTACTACATCAAAAATGTGTAACAAAACATTTTTTTTACCCGTAACTCCAATTGAAATAAAAAATACAATCGATCAACTAAACAATAAGCCTAGTACTGGTATTGATAACATTCTGTAAAAATAATAAAACTGATAAGTGATCATATATCGATTCCTTTAACCCATTTAGTCAATCTCTCAATAACAACCAGCCAATTTCCATCCATATTTAAAATGGCAAAAGTTATTCGAATTTTCAAAAAGAATGACCCTCATGATCTTTCAAATTATAGACCAGTATCTGTCCTCAGCATGATTTCCAAAGCAATAGAGAAGGTTTTATACAGCAGAATGTTAAATTTTATAGAAGAATACAATTTATTAACTCCAAACCAACACGGCTTTAGATAAAAAAGTCAACACTCACAGCTGCATGCAGCTTGTTTGAGGGTATTTATGATGAATTAGATAGTAGAAACCATGTGGCAGGACTCTTTTTGATCTATCACGAGCCTTTGAGTGCTTAGACATAACATTTATTCGCAATCAATTATATAACATTGGTTTTAGAGGGATATTTCTAGAATAGATAATAAATTTCTTAAGTGACAGGAAGAGTGTTGTTAACATGAAAGAATCAAGCTCAGCACTATACACGACAAATAAAGGAGTACCACAGGGATCCGTGCTGGGACCATTATTATTCCTAATTTTTATTAACGACCTACCAGATCACCTAAGGGCATTTATAATATCAATGTGTGCTGATGATACCTTGTTAATAGTCTCTGCACATACACTCGAGGAATTAAAAATGACAATGAAGACTGTTCTTGACTGCTTTATATGCTGGTGTAATACCAACATACTAATATTAAACATTGACAAGACAGAAATTATTTATTTTCATTTATACAACTTATCTACCTATGACTATATCTTAACCATCCATGATAGAAACAATAATTATGTTATCTTCCACTCACTCTACAAAGTTTTTGGGTGTTTTCATTGATTGTAATCTCAAATGGTCAGAGCAAGTGAATTGAGTGAACATGAAATTGAATAAAGCTTTTTATACTATATCTAGAATTACAAACATACTACCCATCTTGGCATTAATGAACGTTTATACAGCCACATGTGCTATAACGTAATTTTTTAGGGGAACTCAGTAGATAGTAATAACGTGTTTATTACCCAAAAAATAATTATTCATAAAGTTTTTAATTTGGATTATCAACAATCTTGTAAACCAATTTTTATTAAACATCAAATTTTAACTTTCTACTGTCTATATATCTACAAATGTTTACTGTATGTAAAAGAGGAAATCAATACATTTCCAGTATAGTCAGACAATCACTATTACAATACAAGAAGTGCTGAATCTTTTCTAGTTTCTAAACACAGCACATCCAAATTTCAAAATTGCTTCAGATATATGTGACTCTAAATTAAAAAAAAATGTTATAGATTTACTCTTAAGAAAAGCATATTATTCTAGAAATGAATATCTTGAGAACAAACTGCAGTAGCTTCATATTTTCCTTGTAAAAATGATATTTTATGTTTTGTCAATTTTGTAACATGATGAATATTATATTATACACATGAATGTTTTTTATACTGAATTGTGTAGTGACATATCTTATACATTATTTTGAATGTCTTAAAGGATCAATAAAGTATGACTATGACTATGATTGGAATCTTAGTTTATCAATCTTAATGTTTGCCAGCATAGCAAAGCTAATTCTTAGACATTTATTTAAGAAATCTTCCTTCAAATAATTTATAAACATCGAAACCTTTTCTTCAAAAATATGTTTGCATTGTTCACCAATACAGTAATATATTTAAAGAGTATTTTCAATCAAACTAATTACATTTTAGCTTACAAAACCGTATCTGGTGTCAATGGTCCACTAGTAATCCTCGAAGATGTCAAATTTCCCAAGTTCAACGAAATTGTCCAGCTAAGACTATCTGATGGAAGTTTAAGATCAGGTCAAGTACTTGAAGTCAGTGGTTCCAAGGCTGTAGTACAAGTATTCGAAGGTACATCAGGTATCGATGCCAAACACACTGTCTGTGAGTTCACAGGAGATATTCTCAGAACCCCCGTCTCTGAGGATATGTTGGGAAGAGTATTCAACGGCTCTGGAAAACCCATTGACAAAGGTAAATATACAATTAAAAATATAAATAAATTTTTTAAGTTTAAATAATTTTTGAGTTCATGTTTTTTTATGGGGCATTTTAAAATAGTATTCAACGAATTATTTAACTTTAGGTCCCCCAATTCTGGCTGAAGATTACTTAGATATCCAAGGGCAACCTATCAACCCATGGTCCCGTATCTACCCTGAGGAAATGATCCAAACTGGTATCACTGCCATTGATGTGATGAACTCTATTGCTCGTGGTCAGAAGATTCCTATTTTCTCAGCTGCTGGTCTGCCTCACAATGATATTGCTGCCCAAATTTGTAGGCAAGCCGGTCTTGTCAAAATTCCAGGCAAATCAGTTTTGGATGATCACGAAGACAACTTTGCCATCGTGTTCGCTGCTATGGGTGTTAACATGGAAACTGCTAGGTAAATACAACTCATTATAGGCCATATATTAATAATAATTATTATAAAACTGTAGTGTTACATAAAACATTACATAATAATGTCATGCAAACTTTAACTAATTATAATTCTAGATTCTTCAAACAAGATTTCGAAGAAAATGGTTCTATGGAAAATGTATGTTTGTTCTTGAACTTGGCTAATGATCCAACCATTGAAAGAATCATCACCCCACGTCTTGCTCTAACAGCTGCCGAATTCTTGGCTTACCAGTGCGAAAAACATGTGTTGGTCATTTTAACTGACATGTCTTCATATGCTGAAGCTTTGCGTGAGGTATGTATAAAACTGCTTTTTTCTCTAAGATTTGATATTTATGTTTTGTTTCAATTAGTTCAAATTGCACCTGAGACAGTTCAACACAAGTTTTGAAATATGTATCATATACCTTTTGAATTAAATCAAGTAAATTATAGCCAAATTGAAACCAAATAAATTCTAAATCAAATAAAATTCTTAGGTAATTAAATGTTCAAACAGACTATCAAATTGTAACGAATATTAACCATATCTATTATACAACGCATTTCTCATGGCGTTGAGTTCATCTACCGATATGTTTTGGCAAAAATAAAAATCTAGAGGAGCTAAGTCGGGTGGCCGGGGGGCCATTTTATTGTGCCGTTTGTAATAATGACACGAATTGTCTGCACTTTATAAAAATGGTAGTTGTTTCTTTTCAAAATGTTTCTCACTGTTTTTGCATTCAAATCATCTTCATTAGCAATTAGTTTACTTGAACACGGCGTCGCTTCAGCCAATGCACAAACTTGAATTTCTCTAATTTCTTGTTCTTGAGAAATTTTCCTCTCGCGAGGTTGATCTGATGGGCAGCATTTTTTACATATGCCATTAGTACAGCGAAACTTTTCAAATTGATGAATAATGGCCAATACAGTTTTTTCTATAGGTATTGGCCTATTTTCAAAAGCCATAATAAATAAATTAATAGTTTCTTGTACTGAATTGCCCCCAAAGTACCATTTTATTATTTGTACCCTTTCTTCACATTCTTTTGTTATATAAACAGTTGGCATATTAAATTTTTATCTCACACTCACGCGGTTACCTCCAAAAAGAAATACATAGCATAGCGTTTGGCCTGTCTCGTATGCAGTTTACCATTGAAGAAGGCGGATGAATGGCGATGTTGCCAAAATTATCTTGTTTTATTGGAAATTAGGTTACAATTTCGTCTGGCGTTCACTAATCGGCGTGCATGGGGAATGTGGAGGGAAGACCAAGGGGAAATAACATGATTGTTATCTTTGTCTATTCGCTGAAAATATGATTTTATATCTGTGTTAGATATCCTGCTAAATTCTACTATACCGACCATAAACTTAGTTTATGGTCCTACCAAACCTTGTATAATACGAAATATTGCTTTAAATATTCCCAAAAGATTTTATCAACCTGTTTAAAAATGGCGGTATTTACTACATTAGTAATTTGTTGGTAACACTTTTTTATCTTCATTTCTAGGCATTTTGAACTATTCAAACGGTTTTTTCTTCAAAATATCTGATAAATTATCTTCCTCATGTTTTGCAAAAACATGTGCATTTTACAAATTGCCAAAAACCCCTGGTTATTTCACAAAAAATATGTATTTTGAATTGACAAATAACAGTTTTTAATTTTAACTCAGAAATACAAATGTAACAAAATTTAATTCATATTCGTAGAACAGCAATATCTTATACTTAGCATATGCTGATAATAAGGTACTACTAAGAAGAGGCAAAACAGGGCTGTCAATAGGCGTATTGACACAGAACATAAATAAGAATTACAAATAAATCTACAAAAGAGTAAATACATGTGTTTTGATATTTTCATGCTTTTTGTTTGTTTTGTAAGATTTTTGCATTATAGACCGTTCGTTTAAATTTACCACCTACTTATTAGGAACTATTGTTTCGAGATGCAATTTTGTGGTAATAAGTTTTTCTGTTATAGGTATCTGCAGCCAGAGAAGAAGTACCCGGTCGTCGTGGTTTCCCAGGTTACATGTACACCGATTTGGCCACTATCTACGAACGTGCCGGTCGTGTCGAAGGCCGTAACGGTTCCATCACTCAAATCCCCATCTTGACTATGCCTAACGACGATATTACTCACCCTATTCCTGACTTGACAGGTTATATTACTGAAGGACAGATCTACGTCGATCGTCAATTGCACAACAGGCAAATCTATCCACCAATTAACGTACTGCCATCTCTCTCACGTTTGATGAAGTCTGCCATCGGCGAAGGTATGACCAGAAAGGACCACTCTGACGTTTCTAACCAATTGGTAAGTTTATGTACGATTGCTTATGGTATATCTTTACTGACCGATTCTTTCATATGTTTTTTCTTAGCACTTTTAGTCTACAATATAATCAATCAAAATATAAGTTATCCTAAAATTCGCGAACAATTTTGATAATCACACGATTTTAATTAAAAATTATAAATTTTCAATTATTTTTATAAACTATATAGTATTGGCGACGTGCAAGTACTTGGATGTGATACATGAAACGATCGTGCGCGAGTAGCGGAGAAATCTTGCATTTTTTACTGCACATTTCATAGATTTCATAAATTCATATTGTCAATTGTCATATTTCATATTCGTTTGTTTATTTACACCTTCTGTCATTGAAGAAAATTGGATTTAGGAAATGCTGTGTTATAAATTGTAAAAATACAACAAAAAATTGTCAATTTAAGTTTTATTCGTCTCCAGCTTCAAAGCACAAATTACTACAAAGAGAAAAGTGGATTTATATCATAAAAAAGCATAAGTAACATAACCTAAATTATGCATTATTCTTGCGCCCGATTTTAAAGTCAGTTTGAAATAAATATTAAATAAAAGTTCACTTTTAAGTGTAAATTTTAGTTTCATAACACTCACTTAGAGTTCATTTTAACCCAAAAATCAAGTTTAATGTTTAAATTTTATTTTTTTTGAAGTTTACAAAAATGCATCCAGTTCAAGTTTTTTTGAAGATGCATTAAGAGATATTCGCTGTCCAAAAGTTTACAGGGAAAGAATTAATTGTTCGAACCAATATGATGATATCATGGGCTTAACCTGCTAATTTATGCATTTATGTATTAGCATTATTTATGGTAATTTATTTTTCTTAATTCTTTCACATAATTCTTCCATTCTTTTTTGACATTTGCCACTACTAAAGCTTTTCCATTTGACTCAGTGCTTGGTTGAAAAGTTATTTGGTGATTTACTTTCTCAAATCCAGTTTTTATTATTGCATCCATATTAACAGTAATGCTGTAATTTAATAATATATTTATTTGTATTTACACTACATACAACGTTTACCTTTTAATAACATATCGACATAACCTCAATCTTACTTTTTCTTCTTATTTTTTTTTTGGGGCTACGTCCTTGACAGATATCCGACAACTTCGATCTAACATGAAAGCGCAGTAAATTTTGCTGATTTACGACACCAGGTGTCGCTGTTCCGAACTTGCACGGTCCCAATAGGATTTTATATGGAATCTCATATTAAGCTCCAAGGCGTTACTAGAACATGTAGATGTTCTAGTAACGCCTTGGAGCAATTGGACATAAATTTGCTGAATTTTATTTAAAGCCATACAAATTGTCCTTTATCCAAAATTTTTAGGATGATACCCTAATCAGAGGAACAAGGATACCCAACATTATGTGCATTATCTAAGATGCTGTCTCTTCGGATGTCTCTACTGCCTCGAGAGTGTACACAGTGTTTACTATATAAACATCATACAAATTCGACTATTGAATATCGGGACATGCAGCCACTGTTGTTAATGCGCTTTAGCACAAAACATTGCATTGGCCTTACGAGTGTCATCTGCTAAAACCTGTCAAAATTACTATTTCAATCATCCTCATGGCCAATAAGACCATCATTGATCTAATGCCTGATGATTTTTAATCAAATATTGTAATTGTTGAGCCGTGAATCTTCGTTTTTTGGTATCCATTACCCTGAAAAATGTAAAAATTTATAAGAAACTTGCAATGTAACATATTGGCAACAGTTATATTTTTTATGTCAAAATGTCCAAAGTGTCCAAATGTCGTATTCGGAAGAACAAAGATGATTTCCCCAGAAAACAACGACCTGTATGAAGATACACTAACTAGACATATACAAGACTTGCAAGAGGAAATAGATGTCAATCAAGCAAATGATGGCATAATGAAGGCTCTAAAAGATACGAAAAGGGAGTGCTGCTTAACCGTTCTGCCACATAAATAAAAACTAAGCCAAAATACCAAAGAGCTAATAGGTAAAAGAAGACAGCTGACGGAAAAATACGTCCAACAATGAAGAAATTAAATAAAGATATCTACCGGTCAATCCGAAAAGACGTAAGAGAAAACAATACAAGAGAATTAACTAAAATAATTCAAGAAAACAAAAGTTTAAAAGTTTTGAGGCGAAATACGAACACCATAGTCAGAGATCAGAAGGATCAGAATTAATGTCAGAAATTATGCACCCCTGTCTCACTCACTCCCCTTAAAATTTTGACCTGATCTTTATATTCTCCATCTATTCGCAGCACCGCTGATCGATTCCATTACAGGTTAGCTTTTATTTTTAGGTCTCTTCCGTCAATCCCTGTCATCTTCAACATTTCCATCATTTGTTCATGTCTGACTTTATGGAAAGCCTTCTTGTAGTCAATCAGGCATGCAAAAACATCACAGCTAACATGTCTACATTTCTGAAACAATACCTGCACGCAAATAAAGCTTCCCTCGTGCCAACGGCGCGGCGTTTACAAATCCAAACTGCTTGGGCGCAATTTATTTCTCGCATTTCCGGTAAATTCTTTTGTGGATGACTTTTAAAAAGAGCTTCAGCAAATGGCTCATTAGGCTTATGGTTCTATCTTCTTTGTCAACCATTTTCCATCCACTCCTGAATGTAGGTCTCTCCCAATTGCTTCCATCTTTTTCTATCTTGCGCCAATCTAATCCACTATTTGCCTGCCACTGCTCTTATGTCATCTACCCATCTTTTTTGAGGTCTTCCCATGCTTCTTGTTGTCGTCCTTGGTCTCCATTCTAGAATTCTCCGTGTCCACCATTTCATTTTTGTAATTTGTTCCACAATATCCCTAATCTTCGTTCTACGTCTTATCTCTGTGTTTCTAATCTTGTCTCTTAGTGATATTTGTTTCTAATTTTTTGGCAGATTTTTTGGTAATTTTGGTATGGTTCTATAGTCTTCACAAACTGTTGCTCTTGGTTTTTGTGCGAACTCAGATTTGAGCCACTCTATTGAGCCACATTCTGTTAGGAGATGTTTAACAGTAATATTGACTTGACAGTAATCACACACTGGAATGTCTTCTTTACTTATTAGGTGCTTATGAGTAATATTGGTATGACCTAATCGAAGTCGAGAAATTTTGACTTGGTCAGCTCTTTTTAAGTTTACTAGGCGCCACGGTTTCATTGTCGATTTAATTTCTTTTAATTTAGATTCCGATAAGTTCCACTTATTTTGCCACGCACTAATCACTTTTTCTTTAACGAACTGTTTTATATCACTGCAGATAGTCTTTGACACTATTATAGCTTGATCATTTTTGTTAGCTTCTCTTGCTTGGAGGTCTGCGTTTTCATTACCTTCTATTCCCGTGTGAGATGGAACCCACATAAATTTGACTTCTGAACCAGATTCTTGTAAGGCAGCAAGTTCTTTCTTGACAAGTAAGGTTATAGGGTTCTTAGTATATAGTTGACCGATTGTTGTTAAGGAGTTTAGAGAATCTGTGATAATGACGGAAGAAGAATGGTTTGTACTTTTGATATGAATGAGGGCTTGTAAAATTGCATATAATTCTGCTGTGTATATAGAAGTGGCTGGCATTCATTTAAATTGGGAAGAGGAATATGGAGTGACAAATGCTGCTCCTACGTCATTTGCAGATTGTATATTGCAGATCTGTATAAATGCAAAAGCTTTTCCCGTAAGTCTCGAGTTCCTTTAAACATGACTGTCGGATTACATTGGGTGATGTACCTGATTTGTTATATTGAAGTAGCGTCGTATTGATTTCGGGAATCATGATTAACCAGGGAGGTGGAGTTTTTACATTTGAAGGAAAGAGGTCAGAAATTTGGAGTTGTAGATCTTTTAAATTTCTTCGAACTCTTTCGTAGAATGGTGGATCGAACCTACTTTTGTTATAAGCTTCTAGGTAACGGTCCGTAAATGCATTTTGAAATACTGGGTGGAATTTGTTGCTGGCGACTGATGCTGCATACGAAAGGCATAAATAATTTCTTCGTAGATTAAGACGTGGCTAGATTGGTATCTTTCCTGCCTCGTATATTTCACTAAATATTTCAGTTATTTTATTTGATCTGCATCTAATAGCTTCAGCAGTTCTGCAGGAATTTCATCAAGTCCCGGTGCCTTTCCATCCTTTATTTGTCTGACGCCTGCCGTTATTTCTTCTGGTACGATTTCGGGACCTGAATTTTCTTCAATGGTGGGTTCTTGTATTCTTCTAAGGTCGTGGAAAAGTTTCTCCAAGTATTCTTCCCATACTTTCGGCAAGATTGCCTTTATCATCTGCTATTATTTTTCCGCTGTTACGTTTTCGGAACTTTCCAGCCATTTCCTTCACCTTTTGATGGATATTGAAGTTTTTAATAGATTCTGTTACTTCTCTATTTTATGACATTGTTCTGTTTTTTTGTTTCTCTTATCTTTCTTCTGATGATTTTATGTATTCTCTTATATTCTTGGAGATTTTTTTTAAGTAGTTAAGGAGAGTTTAAATATTTCATCGGCTATCCACGATTTCTACTGCATTACAATTTGGTTTATTAAATATTACTATAGTCACCCATGGAAATTGTTAGGTCTTGCTTTTTCAACCTTTTCACAACTTGATTAATGCTATGGTATAGTTCTTCTACCTCTTCTTCTGTTCCTTTTATTGTAGGTGCATACACTTGAATTATATTGATGTCGATTGGTGTTGCTTTCACTTGTATGAACATCACTCTTGCTTAGATTGGGATGAAGTTGTCAACAGATTTTGCCACATCTTTTGTCAATACTCTAAACTAATCAAAGGCGACGTCTACACTCGCTGGAGTCTAAGATCATACTGATTTCTTTAAATACCACCACCGCGACGAAGGTTGGCAATCATCATAGCTATTATGACCTTCGAGGCAGCTGCTCTGAACAATTGCCTTGAGCTGCAACCAAACTAATCTCTCAGGTTCTTCAACCAGGAAACACGTCTTCTTGTTACGCTTCTCCTACCCTCTATTTTTCCTTGAATTATAAGTCTCAAGATGTTGTATCTTTCGCCTCTTATCACATGTCCGAGATATTGCAATTTCGTTTCTTTTAATAGTGTTTGTGTTAGTTATGTTGATATTCTTTTGCCTTTTTCTGTCCTCCATCATTTCCAAGATTTCTTCTGTAATCCAATCTCTTTTCTTGCGTCTGGTTGTTGTGAGTTCTCTGCGACTTGGTTCGATAATTGAATTTTTAAAGAAGAATTGCCACTGTTCTACATCACCATCAATTGATTCCGGTGTGGATTTTAGGTTGGCATTAATTTCTTATTTCAGTTTTTCTTTGACTTCTTCTGATTTTAATTTTTGTATGTTTAGTTTATCACTTTTTTAGCTTTTTTGTATCTCTTTTAAATGAAGTTGGAATTTTGCTACAAGAGGATTGTGGCCGACGCCACGTCTGCACCTGGGTACGCTTTCACCGATTGTATTCTTCTTCTTCCTATGCCGTCCCCATTAACGGAGGTTGGCGACCACATTTTTAAAAGCTTCTCTGTCTTTTGCAACGTGGAATAATTCGTCTACAGTCATGTTTGTCCAGTCTCGAATATTTCGCAGCCATGACTTCCTCTTTCTACCTATTCCCTTTTTGCCATCGACTCTACCCTGCATGATGACCTGCAGAAGACTATATTTATTATTTCTTAGTATGTGTCCAAGGTATGCAGTCTTGCGTACTTTTATCGTTCTCAACAATTTTTTGACTCGACCCATTCTTCTCAGCACTTCCTCATTGGCGACCCTGGCAGTCCATGGGATTCTCAACATTCTCCGGTATATCTAAAGTTCAAAGGCTTCAATCTTTTTAACTATTTGCGCTTTTAGTGTCCATGTTTCTACCCCGTACAATAATTGCGACCAGACGTAACATTCAACAAACCTTAGTCTCAGCGCAATATTCAGATTTTTGTCACAGAACAATTGTTTGAATTTTAAGAACGCTGCCCTTGCCATTTCTATTCGTACCCGGATCTCTTGGTCTGGATCTAATTCTGTGTTGATGTAAGCTCCCAGATATTTATATTTTGTCACTCTCTCTATTTGCTGTCCACCAAGAGTTAGTTGTTCATTATTTATTGGACTCCTTGATACTATCATAAATTTGGTCTTATCTGTGTTGATGTCAAGTCCCATTTGAATGCATTCACTATTTATTGCATCTAGTAAAGTTTGTAGATCTTCTATACTCTCAGCCATAATTACCGTGTCATCTGCAAATCTCATGGTGTTTATGATTTCTCCACCAATTCTTATTCCCTCTTTTCTTTCCCATAAGGCTTTTCTGAATATGACCTGTGAGTACAGCTTGAAAAGCGTCGGAGACAAGACGCATCCTTGCCTAATCCCTCTCGCAATCGGTATATTATTTGTTTCTGTATCGTTCACCTTTACTACTGCTTTCTGGTTCCAGTATATAGCCTTAATAAACTCAATGTCTTTTTTGTCTAAATTGATGTTTTTTAATTTATCTATTAACTTCATATGCTGCACTCGGTCAAAGGCCTTCCTGAAGTCTATGAAGCATACATATGCACTCTTGTTATATTCCCGACATTTCTGCAAGAGTACCGTCAACGCAAATAATGCCTCTCTTGTACCCATGCCTCCTCTGAAGCCAAACTGAGTTTCATCTATCTGTTCCTCACATTTCTTATAAATTCGGTTTTGAACATTTTTCAAAAGAATCTTTAAAGGGTGGCACATTAGGCTTATCAATCTATAGTCATTACATGATTTGGGATTGTTGTTTTTTGGTAGAGGTAAAAATATCGATTTAAGCCATTCTTCCGGGATGTTGCCCTCTACATATAGTTGAGAATTCGGGTGAGTCTCTTTATATTACCGTCATCTAAGGCTTTTAACAGTTCAACTGGAATTTGATCAGGACCCGGTGCTTTTCCTTGTTTTGCATTCTGTAGGGCATTCTTTACTTCTGAGGGTAAAATTTGTAGGTATTGTTTTTCTTCACCTATATCTTGTTCATTTTCTCTCTCGTCATGGAAAAGATGGATTATATATTGTTCCCATACTTCCTTTATTTTGCTCTCTTCAGTAAGTATTTCTCCATTATTATCTCTTGTTATGAGTGTTCTTCTTTGTCTGGTGTTGCCTGTAAGTTCTTTAATTTTTTTATATAAGTTTGAGGTGTCATGTTTGTTGCTGAGTTCTTCCAATTCCTGGCATTCTTTGTTCATCCATTCCTCGTTAGCTTTTCTGATTTCATATTGGATTTTATTCTTGATGGTTTTATATTTATTTTCATCTTTATTTTTGTATTTTCTATTTTCAGTTATTAGCTCAACTATTTCCGGTGTCATCCAGTCTTTTTTAGTTATTTTCTCTTCTTCGCCTAGGACCTCCTTTCCCGCTTTTAGTATGGCTTTTTTCATATCTGTCCATTCAACGCTTCCTTCAGTTAATTTATTTATCTCTGCGTTTAGTTGCTGTTGGCAGTTGTCGTCTTTTAGGTTTTTGATGTTAATTTTGGTGGTTTTAACTTTTTTCTCCGGTTTCCTGAGTTTAATGTTGACGTTTGCTAGTAATAGATTATGATCCGTATCTGCATCTGCGCTTGGATAGGTTTTTGCACTTTGTACTCCATTACGAAACCTTTTGTTAATCGTTATAAAATCTATTTGGTTTCTGATTATATTGTTGGTGTTATCTTTTGGAGAAGTCCACGTGTATAATCTTCGTAGGGGTAGGTCGTAGTATGTATTTGTTTTGACTAATTCTTTCTCCTGGCAGTACTGGACTAGTCTGTCTCCTCTTTCGTTTCTTTTACCTAACCCAAAATTTCCTACTATATTTCCAGTTTTTCCTCGACCGACTTTAGCATTAAAGTCGCCCATAATTATTTTCACCTCCTGCTTCTTTATGTTTTTTGTTAACAATTCTAAGTCCGCGTAGAATTTTTCGACCTCAGCATCATTGCTATCAGATGCTGGAGCATACACTTGGATTAGATTTATGTTTAGAGGTTTGGCTTTCAGCTGAAGTAGCATCATACGTTCGTTAAAGGGAATGAAATTTGTCACAAACTCTTTTAAGTTATTGTTGATAATAATACCAACACCATGGCTGTGTTCTCCAGTGCTTTTGCCTGAGTAGAAAATAGTATTATTATCCTTGGTGTAGTTTCCAGACTTTGGCTATCGAACTTCTGAAAGGCCCAATACTTGTATGTCTAATCTCACCATTTCTAGCATGACTGTTGTTAATTTTCCTGCTTCATAAAGTGTTCTTATATTCCACGTTGCTATGCGTTTTAAATCGCTTACACTAAATTTGTTTCTCCACCCGGGATTCTTCGCACCCCTGTCCCATTAAAGGGACGCCGGGCACTCGGGGCCACTGTTTGATTTACGTCCATTTGTGGTTGTTCTTGAGAATCCTTAGGGATCTTTAATGCAGTGGTTGCTCCTTGCTTTCTGCATCCTTATGCCGTTAATCTTGGTTCATCCGCCTTTGTGATCGATTTCTCAATCTCAGGACAAAAGAGTGCCCTTCCACTTACCAACTCATCCGCCCGAAGCCGTTGGTCAGTAAGTGGGGGTTTGCTTATACCGGCAAACATTCGGTGATTTCGCAGTGTCACAACCGGTTAAATCATAATTACCGCCTGTGATTATTCAGTATCAGACCGGTAAAGAGATTTTCTCTACCGCTCCGATCCTGTAATGACATAGCAGCTGTCCTATGCCATGCTCTTAGTTGATCCGCGGGTGTTTATTTGGCAGAGCCTTATTCACACCTGCCCCACATATCTGTAGGACGTTCCCTATCAGCCATTGGGACGCTCCGTGTTGAGGTTGAGAACTACCCCCCTCCGGGAGGTAGTTCTCACCCTACCGATTGTATTGCGTATCGAAATCTGTGGTTTATTAAAATATAGTCAATTTGGTTTCTAACGATTTTATCGACCTTGTCAGCTGGCAATTTCCAAGTGTAAAGGCGTCGTTTAGGCAGTTTGAAGAAAGTATTCATTGCCGCAAGATTATGTTCTAGGCAGAATTCTATAAGGCGTTCTCCTCTCTCACTTCAAACATCGAGTTCATATGGTCCTATAGTCGACTCACATCTTCCTTCTCCAACTTTGGGGCTAAAATCACCCATACTGATCATCATCATCATACTGATACTTCATTCAAATTATAAGTGCATATTCTAAGCAGGGTTTGGGAAGTAGCTACCCGGTAGGGTTATTACTTATGGGAAAAATATTCGAATGTCAATGAAGTAGCTACACTTATAGAAATTTATCAAGCGCCATAAAAAGTATTCACTACTGTCGGCGCCGTTTTTTTAATTAGACTTAAAAGCAGTTTTTATATCTAACTAATATCTGTTATATTTATTACAGTATGCTTGCTATGCTATCGGTAAGGACGTCCAAGCCATGAAAGCTGTAGTAGGTGAAGAAGCTCTAACACCTGACGATCTTCTCTACCTCGAGTTCCTAACGAAATTCGAAAAGAACTTCATCACCCAAGGAAACTACGAAAACCGTACCGTCTTCGAGTCATTGGACATCGGCTGGCAACTTCTCCGTATCTTCCCCAAGGAAATGTTGAAACGTATCCCTGCAAGCACATTGGCGGAATTTTATCCAAGAGACGCTCGTCACTAGTTGGTTTATGTATAAAATTTATATATATTTAGGAAGTTTTGTTAGGTTTGTTACAAATATGTCCACTTATTGTATCGATTATTTTCAATTGAGAGATATTTTACCAAAACAATTTAAGCCGATGAGATTCTACGGTGTAATTTTTGTAAATACTTAAAGAGCGTGTTTCAAAAATGCGCTCAATATATATCAATACAGAGCAACCTTTTTTTCTTTATTATTTTTTCACTCTACAGTCCTGTTGAACAATAATTATATCTCAAATTAATTTTTTAAGTGACAGTTCTATAAGTAAAAACGTGCAAGGGCTATATATTACGTACTAAACTTGAGAAGAAAAATTGTGTCGCTCTGAAAGAACGATTACTTGCATAAGAATATTCATTAGATGAAAAGCAGCGTCATATTTTCAATTTATGACATCTCTAGACGATATTTTTTGCGTTACTATATATATTTTTTAAATCAACAGCAGCAATTTTGGGACTGATATTCTTATGTGAGTTGTTTTCCTAATTTGTCCTATTTTGAAGAGTCTAAACTATTTACTTACCATTTAATTAAATTAGATGAACATAAGACAATACTATATTTTTATCATGTAAGTTGATATTCCCGATGTAAATTGTTGGCACAATGTATCCTCCAACTTGATTTATACATTTATTATACTTTTGTTTGTCTATTTTCTGTAATAGAGTGGAAAAATTAACATTCCATTAAATGTCATTGCCCAATGTATAAAGCAATATACCTCTTACCATTCGATGCTTTTTCAGTATTTTAATTCTAGATGGTGAACGGAGATTTTTCTTGATGTAGGTTTTGACATTTTCGATGTTACTGTAAAAATCTAATTTTATGTTAAATAGATTAGTGTACAAAAATGTGAATAAACACTATACATATGTTATTTGTTTGTGTTTTACTATATTTTGAAGAATACCCCACTTGTCATCACATATGAAGCGAAATTCTTCTGAAAATGCGCGTTACCAAAGATATTATACCATTTAAACCAGCATAAGAGAGTAATTTGGCATTAGTCTAGCATTCGATAGTTAGCGCTGTTATTCCACGATACACTTGTATCGTGTATAAGTGTATCGTGTGTTATGCGCTCCGTGCGTGACTGACGCGACACCTACCACCTTCATCTGACAATTTTGGACCTCCCAATTTTCAGGTTAAAACATAGGACATATGTTTGACATTGTTAAATACATGCGAAATTGATAATTATTAATAAATCAGTTTTTTAACTATATTTTTTCAGTTTATGTACAAAATAAATGTAGTATTAAAATGGGTTTCTCAAAATTCATCATAATATATCTTTTCAACTCCAAACGGAAAAGAAAGGGAAAAATCTAGTACTGACAAATCAAGTTTTTCACGCAAAAGAGCATATAATTAAAAACAATAATAGTAAAAGTTATGATATAAAAGCTAAAGTCATCTGCAGTTAGCTTGAAGCCTTATGAAATATCGTTCAAGGTAAATTATGTAAACTTTTCCTATTTCAATTGCATAAAAATGAAATTATGTGATATTTACTTTTTCTTATTAATAGCACGAATTCATCTTTTTCTTTTCTCTAATTCATATGTAATCTTTGGGAACCTATAAAAACTACACTCACTGTTTTTGCTATTATTCTTCTTAACGTGCCCTAGCAAGTCCCCTTGACGTTGGCGATTAACATGGCGAAACTGTCTCTGTCTCGAGCTATTCTAAAGAGTTGCTCAGTTTTATTATTAGACACAATTAAATACGCAACATGTATTTGCACACATTTTTGATAAAATTTATGCGTAAAAATATTTTGTCTAATATTCCAATTTTGTCATATTTCGCCGCTACGCACTCTGGCATCGTTTCAATGTACCCCTACCATGGTCACGCACGGAGCGAATAATGAAATTAAATTGATATCGACTTTGATATCTGTTATCCAAAGCACGACTGTCAACATTTCAAAGATATAGTAGAATATATGTCAATAATTATGGTTATTATTCCCGAGGGAAAAATATTAAGGCGAATCTAGGGAGCGGTAAATGAAAATGGTGTCTGGAGAAGACGATACAACTTCAAACTCTATAGAATATACCAGGAATCAGATATCGTAAAATACATTAAGTTAGGACGTCTGAGGTGGGTAGGCCATGTAATGTGGATGGAGCAAACCGACTCAGCTAGAAAAACGCTCCTTGATAGACCTATTGGTCAAAGAAGAAGAAGAAGACCCAGAACAAGATTCTTAGATAACATAGATCAAGATATGAGAAATATGGAAATACGTGCTTGGCTGAGGAAGGCGATGGATAGGGACGACTGAAAAAAAATTCTTGGGGAGAGGCTAGGACCTACACAGGGTTATAAAGCCAAATTGGTGATGATGATTCCCGAGGGAGCTATATTGCTAGTAATACATATTCGCGTTCTCGAACGGCTATAAAAGGCAGCACTTGTTTTAAAATATCGTTTGTTGACATTGTAAATGTGATAGGAATTTTAAAAGACCCCTAGTTGAAGTTCAAGCAATTTTAGATTCCGACCATATTATTACTTGTGGAATATTATTATTTATCTAGTACGAAAACCGGAGTGATACAAACATTGTGCCTTCAAACGAGCAATTTGGGAGGAGTACCCCACCAAATTAAAGTGAAAATTGAAGTGATTGTTAATATTAAAAATGTTTGTAATTGTACATGCAAGGTTGGAAATTCAGGCAAATGCAAATATATAATTGGCACATTACTATATATTTTTCGGTAAGTGATTAAAAAAAGAACCATTTTGCTATAACTTCATGTTTATAATTCCTTTTTATTATTTACACAGACATCAAGCAAAAGTGGGGAAAATTAAAAAAACAATGTGGATGAAAGTATGATGCCAATTAACCAGTTTTGCCACATGAACAAAAACCACTGCAAGAAGAGAATTAGATACACGTCTAGCAATACCAGCAGATACTGACATATTGAAGATATTACTCCGGAGCCGAAGATTCAGAATTAAGTTTCACTTTAAAAAGTGTAGTTCCTATAGATCAAGACACACAGTTCTATAAGGAAGAAGTGCTTCAAATATCTCTATGTCACAGTATTATTGGCAACAATAAAGTTCCACCAGACTTTGTTGATACATGGGCTACTGACATTGTACTAGAATATGGTTTAGCTATATTTTATACAAATAATATTGAAGTAAGCTAGAGTAATTCTGTTGAAATATGTTTAGCTAAACCAAACTGGATAAGCGTGGAAAAACCTGAGGCGACTGAGAGTAACTGGAACCACTTGTTACCAATTACATATAGTAAAAATTAAAACCCAAATTGGCCACTTAAAGTCAACCAATTGTATAATTCCAATTTTAAAGGAAATACTTGCAACATTGCATGAGAAAAAATAAGAATCAGTTGCTTTAAAAATGTATGAAAAAACAACTCAAAGTAAAGTTGAACATTTGGAAATTCTTATCTAATATAATGTACCATGGCTGGCAATGTCGATGGAATTAATTCAGGAAAATGTGTAGAAATAAGTTTGCCTGCCAGAGGGCAAACAAAATCTGTGCAATCAATTTTATGTAACCTTAAATATTTATGCATAATTGAGGAAAATAATATTACTTTAAAGAAAAACCATATGTCTTATGGGACAAGTACAATTGCAAATGTTACTTACCGGACTACAAATATTTATTTTGTAGTGTTTTGTCCATTCAATAAGTCCACATTTATTATACCATTTGATGTAGAATATATACAAAAATTTTGGTAGGCGTATATTTTTACAATGTATTAACAGTTTTATTCCAATTATATTAATAAAAAACTCGTTTTAAAAGATTGTTTTATTTCTTAAAAGGTACTTTTAGTTGGAGTACATTTTACTGTGGACAACAAAAATTAATACAACGCCAGTATACAATAGAAGCTTTACTTTAAAGAAAGTCATTTGTCTGACACATGAGGTTTATTTAAGTAATTTTGGGAATGCAGCTCATCATCAAGTATTTCTTCTCTTTCTCCTTCTTCATCTTTTTTGTCTTTTTATTCCTCACTTATTTCTGGGACATCTTTATTTTTAAAACAAAGTAAAAATTTCTATCATATATATTTTGAAAAATATTGTCTTCTAAGGGGGAAATGTGCCGCAAACATTATTGGCACTTGTTAGAGCGGACTACAGTTTTTTCGATGAGAAGCAGGTTCCATAAAAACAGACTCTTTCTTGTCAAAACAGCTTATGTTAAAAAGTTATGCAGCTTGTAAGTCTATAGTTAGGCAACAAGCTAGTGGTAATGCATGTAGAAAGGCAACTTGGTAAGTAGCGGGTGAAACTATTACCAGTCAACAATGGAGGTAGCAGTTTATAGAAGGACTACAGAAAAATAACATAGGACGACAAGCCTGAGATCCATAAAACAGAGTATATTTTTCCGAAGGTTTCTGACAACTCTACAAGATAACAAAAATTATGAGTAAGAACTATTTCAGGGGGAACACCATTACAGGTTAGAAAAGCAGAATAGCACTTGTTTTTCAAGATATTATTAAATGAAGAAGATATTATTAAACGAAGAAGATATTATTAAACAAAGCATTTGAGAGATAACCAGTTGAATTAACGGGGACAGTAACATCAGCAGTCATCACCAAAATAACAAATAAGAAAAAATCCAAAGTCCAAAAGGAATATATATCAAGGTGGAAAACATTTGACGCATTCTTTGTGATGGCTCCTGTATCAATCTAGGGCGAATGTAAAGAGACTTATTGAGGACAAGTTCGGTGAAAAACAGCACAACGTTTCATCTAAATTTTCACCAAGAACTCTTATCAAACATCGTTCACTATTTCAAAAAGTATGCCAACGATAACAACAGTCATGTTTTAAATTTAATATATCATCAATGAAAATTTATTTGCATTCTTATATTATCGAATACCATTCAATGTCTAATTAATATGTACTGGTCAATAGATGAAGATGAAGGTCTGGAATTGATGCGGCACGTAATAAACCAGAAGACGTTTAGAAAAGTCTAAAGGAATTTACATTTATCGAAGAAAAAAAGCACTAGATAAAACTAATAATTTTTTCAAATTTCGACCCTTTTTGATGATATAAAAAAGAGAAATTTTCAGATTGGAATACTTCTACGCGACTTATTTATCGACGAAGAATACTTACGTAATATTGCCAAATTTGAATTTATCATGAAAGCCGAAGAGATCTTAACCTGTCAATGTTTATAATTGGCACTGGCTGGTAATACAAATTTCACAGTTGACTTATTTGTTCTCGATCTTGTAGGCATTACCTCTGTTTTGAGTGAAATTCTGAGAGGCTTGATTGTATGTCGGATTGATATCAAATTCTGATCTTTCTTTGTTTATAAAATTTAATATTGACAAGATATTGCTGACTTCTTCTTTTAGTTTTGACTATTCATAGCTACTTGCATTGATTTCTTTCATGACTATTGATGCATCTTTTCATTGCACTCTGTACTTACTATTCCATGCATGTTTGCATATCAGAAATATGTCAAAAGTCTGTTTTTAATGTACGATTTGTCACATTTATCTCAAACATTTATTTAGTCTATCTGGTCTATGAAACCAATTGAAAACGATTGCGGATTGGAAGTAGAGATGTCAAAACAAATATAAAATATAATTCTAATTACAATCAATGGTAATTTAAACAAATATAAAAAAAATTAATAAAATCCAAAATTGTGATCGCACAGTTGGTACGTTAATTGATCAAAAGGAAAGGCAACAACAGGAAAAAGACAAAAGGGAGACAGTGATAATAGGTTCGATTATTTTGGAAATATAACAAAAAATAAATAAAACTTGCGTAGAAGGTGTATATTTTGTAAATGTACTACAACTTAAGGGAAATAAGATGGGACATATGTAAAAGATTACAATTTTATTTTACTATATTTATTAGGATACAAAAAGCAAAAAAGACAATGCTCGCCAAAACTTGACAAAGTTTCTAAACCTAAAGGTTGCTGAAGACAGTGTTCTTATATATTAAATGGAATTATTGCCGAGCGCAGTTGTTGCTGTCTTTTTGCAAGTTAAATGAAATTGCTGGAAATTTAGATAGCAGAAAAAGTAATGACCTTGCGAAGAAACGGATAAGGCACAGAAATTAAGAATAAAAAAGTACAGAGTTACAAAAATGCATATTTATATACAATGAAAATAATTATAAATGACTAAAATATATTGCACAGGGATGATTTAAAAACGTCGGTATCAAAATAGGCAATAATAATCTTTTTTCAGTTTACAGGAAAGGAAGAAGGTTGGGTGGTGAGCACAACATAGACCGTAGTCCTAGCAGGAGACTTCAACGCACATCATTGCACCGTAACCGATTTTAGGTTAGGTAGAATCATTTTCTGTAATTATATATAGAGGATAAACGGGGGTAATTGCTATTGTCAATTAAAATAAACTATTTATAGTATTTCATTAATAATATGCGTCCTTTTTTCCACGCGTCCTTTTTTCCACGCGTCCTTTTTTCACGCGTCCTTTTTTCCGCGTTTTTATGCGTCCTTTTTTCGGTATACCAGATGAAATGAGGCTAAAATATCTTAGGTTGAAATATCTTAAGTTGGAATGTTAAATTTGATTAAGACAATACAAGATTTGATTTTTATTTATTTTTATTTTGTTTTTATTATTCAGAGCCCATTTAGTAAACATACTTCATTGACTATGGTCGTTTATCTTCAGCTCCTATCAGTTGAATTTTTTATTAAAATCTACTTTGTGCTGATCGCCTGCAGTGGATTATCTGTTCCCATTGATAAGCACTTGAGCAGCAGGAGATCAAATGTACTCCTGCGGCACTAGTACTTAGTAACAGGGCAGAACTAAGAGTATTCATACGTGTGGATTGAACCTAAAACAGAAAAGCAAAATAAATAAAAATTTACTAAACCCTTTAAAATAGAAACAAACAAGTATTATACTTTTTTGAAGCTAATTTTCTTGTAACAGGTTAATGAAATTACTATTTTTAATGCGAATAAGTCACAATATAAGTTTCTTTTTGACGTTTCCATTTCCACTTCGAAAATCGTTTTCAAAATACAAAATACAGAACGAATTCCGAAGTGGAAATCGAAACATCAAAAATAAACTTATTTTAAACTTTAATTGTGACTTATTTCCTATGAAGGTAGTAAGTACTATACCTGCTATTACTGGCTTTTGGTCTTAAAACTTTTCATAGGTAACTTGTGACATACTAAGAATAAAAAAAATTTATTTAAAATCCTTTATAGGGGATATATAATAAAATGCCCAAACGGGCTATCACAAATATATTACAAAACGTTTTCGGTTTGTTAAATCCATCATCAGTGTAAACGAGGTATACATGCTATGAGCCACCAAAATATATGGGTCAAAACCCTTTAAATGATATAAATTTAATTTGCTTTACATTATATGTGGTTACAAATTATGATGTTTAAGTTACCGTTGGAATTGGTAACATGGCGACGTATGACCCTACATAGGTAAAATGGTCCTGAGACGAAGTGTCTTCGAGGACCTGTTGATAACAAGTTGTCTACCGAGAGACATCACTGAACAACTTCTTAGGGTTTATAAAGATCTAGGTTGCAACCTGTCACTCAAGATTCATTTTTTAGATTCGCACTTAAATTGTTTTACTGAAAATCTGCGCGCTGCACAGGATGAGATGAGCATGGTGAAAGATTTCACCTGGATATATTGCACATTGGAACTTGCAAGTGGAAATGGCGAGCAGAAATGCTGTTGATCGATTCTCTGTTGTCTGTTGGTCGATTTACCGAGAAACTTCAATTAAAGCAGTGAACCGAAAGAAAACTACAAAATAACTTTGAATTTATCATCATTATGAATTAGTAACAATAAAGCACTGAAAACTTTGTTTTCAAACTTCTACAAAATTTATTTTAAATCTTTTCACTACAGCTGTTTCGGCCGATTGCTTTTCTCAACAGATCTATTTTTGGCTTGGGTTTACAAATTTATAGTCTCTAGTGAAATAGGTTGAGGAGGGGAGAACTGTTTGTCTCAAGTTGGTCATTCAGAATAATATCTGTGTTTTTTAATTTGTTGATTTCCATAGATTCTAACAAAGATAGCTTAAGGCCTTTTAGATTAGCATTTTATATGTGAAGAATTTTAAGTTTGTCATTAAAAGAATGATAATGATCTAGAAGGTGAAGTGCGTATGTCGAATCTGTTTTTCTATTCTTGAAAGCCCTTTTATGTGCGGCTATTCGTTTATTCAAGTTTCGACCAGTTTGACTGGTCTGGTAGAAACTTTGGTAAACGAATAGCAGAACATAAAAGGGCTTTCATGAATAGAAAAACAGATTCGACATACGCACTTCACCTTCTAGATCATAATCATTCTTTTAATGACAAACTTAAAATTCTTCACATTTAAAATAAAGGCCTTAAGCTATCTTTGTTAGAATCTATGGAAATCAACAAATTAAAAAACACAGATATAATTCTGAATGACCAACTTGAGACAAACAGTTCTCCCTTCCTCAACTTATTTCATTAGAGACTATAAATTTGTAAACCCAAGCCAAAAATAGATCAGTTGAGAAAGCCAATCGGCCGAAACAGCTGTAGTGATAAGATTTAAAATAAATTTTGTGGAAGTTTGAAAACAAAGTTTTCAGTGTTTTATTGTTACATAAAATGAATTTCCATCAAGTAACGGTCGAATCCATCAATTATTATGAACTAGATTTAGTGAAACTTTCATGACCTGTGCCTAAAAAAATAGTAATTTTTATTG